GAAGAAGGCATATCTTAAGGGGAACTACAAGTGCAGGGCTACAAACAATTCAAAAGCAACAGATGCATAAGACCTTTTCCTCTGGTGTTCATTTCTCCATGATAAGCCTTGCTGAGTCTGACACAGATTCCTTGTTGCATTCCTTAACTACTCACGCCACCCAATCATCCCTGCACCCTGACATTTATAAACTACTTGATGACTACAAGGATGTGTTTGAAATACCTAGAGTTACCCCCTAGCAGACCTGGTCATGATCATAAAATTCCTTTAACACAAGGAGTCAACCCTGTCAATAAGAGGCCATACAGATATACTAAGCAGCAAAAGGATATTATTGACGGCCTAGTGCAAGAATACCTTAAAACTGGAGTGATTCAACATAGCAACAGTCCTTATGCAAGCCCTGTTGTTTTGGTTGGAAAGAAGGATGGAACTTGGAGACTTTGCGTGGATTATAGAGAGTTAAATAAGGGCACTATTAAGAAACAAATTTTCAATTCCATTGGTGGAAGATTTGATGGATGAATTGCATGGATCAACTATCTTCTCTAAGATTGATTTTCGCTCTGGTTATAACCAAGTACGAATGGATGAAGCTGACATCCATAAGACTGCATTCAAGACTCATGGAGACCATTATGAATATCTGGTTATGCCCTTTAGACTTACAAATGCTCCCACAACCTTTCAGGACTTAATGAACTCAGTTTTTCAAGATTTTTTAAGGAAGTTTTTACTTGTCTTTTTTGATGATATATTGATCTACGGCAAGAGTCTCCTTGCTCATATCACTTATCTTCATCAGGTTTTAGAGACAATGAGATTAAACAGTTTATTTGCCAAGCAATCTAAATGTTATTTTGGTGTGGATATAGTGAAATATTTAGGTCATTTCATCTCTAAAGATGATATTGCTACAGACCCTACAAAGATTGAGGCAGTGTAGCAACGGCCTCTTCCTCAAACTGTGAAGCAGTTGAGAAGTTTTTTGGGTTTGGCTGGGTACTATTAACAGAAATGTTGAAGAAGGATAATTTCTCTTGGACTCCTCAAGCCAAGGAATCATTTCAGCAACTTAAGCAGTAGTTGATTAATGCCCTAGTTTTAGCAATGCCTGACTTTTCTCAACAGTTTGTGGTTGAAGTGGATGCATCTGGCCAAGGGTTAGGAGCTGTTTTGATGCAGCATCAGCATCCAATTACTTATATTAGTAGGAATTTAAACAAGCAACAACAGTCTCTATCTACTTATGAGAAGGAGCTTTTGGCTGTTGTATTTGTAGTTCAAAAGTGGAGACACTAATTACTCAACCGAAGATTTCTCATCAAAACAGATCATAGGAGTCTAAAGTACTTCCTGGACCAAAGACTAAGTACTGCATTTCAGCAAAGGTGGTTGGTAAAACTTATGGAGTTTGATTTTGATATTGAATATCGGCAAGGTTCGAAGAATGTTGCGGCTGATGCTTTATCAAGAAGAAAGTTGGTGGAATGCAATGCCATAGTGAGAATGGAACCTGATTCAGATATGTTGGCCAGAATTAAGTAATCTTGGTCTGATGACTTAATACTGCAGAAGATCATTTCAGACATAAGACTAAATCCTACTTCGCACAAGCATTTCTCTTGGGACAGAGATGAACTAAGAAAAAAGCATAGGCTGGTGGTTGGTAATAATTGGGAATTGAGACAAGAAATACTTGCTTGGGTTCATGGTTCTACTATTGGAGGTCATTCAGAGAGAGATGCTATCCTACAGAGATTAAAACCTGTGGTTTATTGGAAAGGGATGTCTAAGAATGTAAGACGATTTGTTGCTCAATGTGTCACTTGTCAAACAAGTAAATATGAAACTGCGGCATCCCTCGGATTATTACAGCCACTAACAATTCCAAGACAGGTGTGGCAACATCTAGCAATGGATTTTATAGAAGGTCTCCCTAATTCATTTGGTAAGTAGGTCATTTTTGTTGTAGTTAACAGATTGAGTAAAGGTGCACATTTTATGGCTTTGGCATACCCCTTCTTAGCAGCGGATGTAGCACAGAGTTTCTTAGACAATGACTTAAAACTCCATTGATTTCCTGCTTCAATTACAAGTGATAGGGATCCCATTTTTACCAACCGGTTCTGGAAGGAATTTCTCTCATTACAAGGCATACAACAACATATGTCCACAGCCTATCACCTCCAGATTGATGGCCAGTCGGAGGTTGTTAATAGGTGTCTTGAAACCTATTTGAGGTGTATGTGCACAGATTCTTCTTCGAGCTGGTCCAAATGGCTTCCACTTGCTGAATGGTGGTACAATTCCTCTTATCACAACACAATTAAAGCTAGTCCTTATGAAATTATATATGGTCAGCCCCCTCCTCTCCATTTGCCTTATCTTCCTGGGGAGTCCAAAGTAGCTGTGGTGGATAGAAGCTTGCAAAAGAGGGTGGAAATGCTTAAAATGATCAAGTTCCATATGCAGAGAGCACAACATCGCATGAAACAGCTTGCAGACAGACATCGATCTGACAGAAAGTTTCAGATTGGAGACTTGGTGCTGGTAAAGTTACATTTTTACAGGCAAGTATCTGTGGCTTTCAGAGACAATACCAAACTTTCTCCAAAGTATTTTGGGCCATTTAGGGTGGTGGACAAAGTGGGTGCAATAGCTTACAAGTTAAGACTACCAGTAGGATCTTAAATTCATGACGTGTTTCATGTGTCTCAACTCAAGCGATTTGTTGGTAACTCCTCTACTTCCCAGGATTCTCTTCAACCTCTCACTGATCCTGTACTAAAGGAACCTGAATACATATTGGATCGTATGACTGTTAAAAGAAGGAATAAGGCTATTACTAAGGTCCTTGTTAAATGGAAGCATCAATTAGAAGAGGATGCCACATGGGAATTTTATTTTGATTTAAAGAAGAAATTCCCTACCTTCAATCCTTAAGGACAAGGATTTTCTCAGGCAGGGGGGATTGATACAAGAAGGAAAAGGGTGACTATATAAGGCCAATTGTAAATAGCTATCGTATTCAATTGTTAATTGCAATTCTTCTCTGTACTCACTTCATTCTGATTGAATAAGAATTCTTGGATCGGAATTCCTTCTTTTTCTGTGAATTCCCTTCTTTTCCTTGATGTTCTTCGATTGTTTTTGCATTCCTAGTTCATCCTTATCATACCATTCATCCAATTTTGTGAGGGCTGAAAGTGGTACAGAGTTCGATATGGCTATTTTTCAGGTACCCTGTAATTCATTGAATTCATGTTGTGTAAGGATGCATCCCCTGCAGTGATCTCTATGATGATAGAGCCAAAGTAGCTTAGTTTGACTTTGATCAAGAATACTACCCTATCCTTTTATCAGAAAATAAAAAAGAGAAATTCATTTGAGTTGGGGTATCTTTAAAATAAATACCCATAAGTAGTTGAGAGCTGACCAATTAATTTTTAGTTAATAATTAATAAGTTAGATTATTTAATTAAAATTAGTAAATTAACTATTAATTTAGGTAATAGATTTAAAATGAAACCAACACACATCCTAGAGTTTCACTTTTGATTCTTGAACGTAGAGATTTTTGGAATGTGAACGAGTAAAATGAATTAATGATTTATATAAATTCATAAATAACTTTACATGTGACATGCTTTTAATTTTGAAAGGATTTCAATTTTATGTTTACTTTCTTTTTATATTTATTTTTAAGTATTTCTCTCTCTCTTTTTTTGTTTTACATCTCATAATGAAGTATGGTACAAACATGATTGATTTTGAAAATGGGATAGGTTTCCCTTCTCTTAACATCTAACTAGCATATGAAAAACTTTATTTTGTTATGGATTAGTAAAAATTAGACTCTTCTACTTTAAAACTCATTATTACAACTCACTTTTGCCTCCTTTAAAAAATAGAAAAGCCCTCATATACATGTTAAAAAGATATATTATGGGCATAATAATTTTTTATAACACTTTATATAATATTATTTTTTCTCTATCTCTTTCTATTATATAATTGTTATATATCAAGTACAAAAAATTATGTTAAAATTCCATCCAAACATTTAAATGATGACACAACTAAACTTATGATGAAATTAAAGTTGATGGCTAATGAGTTGGAGGATAGCTCTAAGCTTGGGTAGTTGTGTGTTATTACTTTTTTCATTAGTATATATCTGCGTTGATTCTATAATTTATAATTTTTTTATTTTAATTCATGCGTTGAACAATATACAGAATTCAAAGTGCACCTTCTCATCAGTTTTGCCCGAGAGAAAAAAAGAAAAAATGATAATCATAAGCTTGACAGAAAACTTCAAAAGAACAATCAATAAGATATCAAAATATGTATTCAATATGTTTTGTATAAATTTTAATAAAGAATAATGTTACATACACACACTTAAAACAATTTTTATCATTGTCTACTTCTTGGCTTTCTTTGCCAATTGCCACCTCGCTTATGTTAAGGTGATTATTTAGTAAGCAAGATTTTAGAAAAAAAGAGAAGAGAAGATAAATTTTATATTTTAAACAAATATATTTTAAATTAATATTTTTTAAATTAAAAATATAAATTAATATATTAATATAAATTTAATATGTTAATTATACATTTATCACAATAAATTATACAATTTTTTTAATTTAAAATTAAAAATATGACTTCTCTTTCTTTTCCTCTAAAATTCCTCTTTAAAATATACTTTAAAAATTTTGTTTAGTGAAATATAGTACACAATACAAATTATTTATCAAATACAATAATCTCAAAGTGACAATATCACATACAATCAATAATTAAACAAAACTTAAATACAATAGTACTATAAGTGTTATTCTCTAATTGAAACTGAAGTTTTATTTTGATAAGGGGAGATAACCTTTAATATCAACTTTTATTGTGTCAATTATCATTACCACACGTCAAACTCCAAATTTAATTAACAAATAACACCAAATGCACTTATGATCATTTACTTAAGTTTTATCCTATATAATATCCTGATAAATGCTTTCCTCATGGTCAATTTCTGCATGCTTCATGCTCCAAGCATTTAGTTTTGAGATTCCCACACTTTGACTTCCCATGTTGAAAACATAAAGATGGGCATCTCCATCTATAGCCAATGAAGGATAAACTCTACTGGTAATGCAAACTCTCCCTTCATCCCCAAAACTCTCAATAATGGATCGGTCAATCTGCACAATATATGAACATACATAAATATAAAACTAGCAACAAGATGAAACAAAAAGGATAGTACTTGTCATTAGAAACATACCAAGCTTCTTAGTGAAATTGTTTTGAGATTGGGGTCTATGTCAAATATAGTTCCATATGTGCTTTTATCAAGGTCCTGCCGCGTTGAAGACCTATATAATGTACATAATTCTCAAATACTCAAGTGTCAATCATAAATCACAAGTTGAGATTTAATCATAATGAAAATTGAATATGTATTTGTCATTGCTTTCTGGAATAAAGAAGGAGCAACCTTCAAGCCAAATGGAAGGACTTTCCATTGGTATTGAGCATTAGGAATACATAAAGAAATTTTCCAGAAAGAAGAAAAAGAAGATAAAGTTCTTCAAAAAGAAATCCAAAAGAGGAAAGAACAAGAGTACCAGATGCTTTACCTGCTATGGTCACTGCACATGAGACATACATATCTATTGGGAGCTCTATAAATTCTGAAGAAGATTGCAGTGTGTTCTGCCCTGTCCTCAGATGCTAAAGCTAACAAACCAAATGGCCCTATTGTACCACTTCTTGATGCATATTCTTCACTACATAGTAAATGAGGATCAACTTCGCTAGGATCTAGCCACTCTGCACTTTCTAGGGCAGGTAGTTCAAATAACACTTCTACATCGGCCTTGAAAGTTATGTTCAAAAGTAATCAACATTGATGCAGTACTTGGTCTTAAAATTCATCTAAATAAATAAATAAAACAAATGACAGAAAACATAGCACCAGTTTATTTACCTGTGATGCAGTGATACCTGTCACTTCAAGAGTTGATCCACCAATGATTTTCTCTCCAATTATGGTAATTTGTTTGTCACGAAGTTTTTCCACCTCTTCAATTGGCCACTGTATCAATCGCTTCCCACTTTTATCAAGCCAAACCTGCCTTGGAATACACTACATAGCCAAACAACACTAACTTAAAATATCTAGATCATGCTATGATATGAAATGAATGTAGTCCTGAAACAATTTTTAAAATGGACGCTGGTTAAATAATTAAGGGTCTTGCTAATAAGTGACTAAAAGGTACTACTAATGAATTAATAAATAGGAACTTTTTATTGGAAATCTTATTAAAATCATGATAGGAGTGCATGCTTTGTATATGTATATAATTAGTCCTATGATCTCTTCAAATGTTCAATAGTGAGTGTGAGAAGTGTTTGTTGAAATCCTATATTGACTACAATTATGGTCACAGTAGAACTTACGAAAGGTAAGGCAATCTTTACCTTATGAGTTACCTTTTAGAATTCAGTTAAACCAATCCCAAATTTGTATTGTCCAATAAATAAAAGAAAGGACAAACATGGAGCTAAAATAAATACCTGTAGACCAGCCCATCCTTTATCAAGATCATCTTGTGTAGTGTCATTTTCTTTTGACCATCCCCACAATATCCTCCTACTCTTGGCATAGTCAAAAAATGTCTTGGCAGCATAAAAATTTCCATGGTCCAATATTAACTCCACACTAGTTCTTGTGAAATCAGCATCAGGGATAAACTTTTCCTGATCAGGGTGATAGTTACCTAGTAAATAGTGCTCTTGTTGTTTGTTCTGAAAACTCAATTTCAAAACATGCTTAACACTTGAGTTTTGTACTGATGTGTCCACCCCATTTTTTGTGCCACTGATGAACACTGGAAAAAAGTCTGGGCATTCCAACATTCCACTACTATCAGAAGTATACAAAGGATTGTGATGTACTGTCCAATTAACAAAATCCTCACTTCGGTAAATAAGAGCCTTCCCTTCATCACCATTTTTAGCACCAATTATTACTCTCCATTTGCCATCACTTCCCTCCCAAGCAGTTGTTGGGTCTCTAAAACTTTTCATTTCAACTCCATTGGGTGGAGTCATGACTGGGTTTTGAGGGTGTTTGACCCATTCCCTTAAGAAGGGGTCTGAAAGATTCTTGGGCATAGTCAAGTTTTGAACTTGATGTTTATTATTATCACCCCCAGTGTACATAATAACAGGTTTTTGCCCATGGATGATTGTGGCTGAGCCAGAATAGCAGCCATGAATGTCATAAGGTTCACTTGGTTCAAGAGCATGATTCAGATGAATCCAATTGATGAGATCATAGGATACTGAATGACCCCATACAATTTTACCAAAGGTTGGCGCATAAGGGTTATGCTGGTAGAAAAAGTGGTAAACTCCTTTATAGTACATTGGTCCTGCCACATTTAAATCAACACTTGTCATTACTAGATCATAATTTGGATGAGTTTCATTGAATTAAGAGTATACAAGTGGATGGGAAAGTAGTGCATTAGCTCCTATTATTTTGAGGTTTACATGGACAAGAAGTGATTGCTTATTTATGCCAAAAATCTATTTGAGCTAAATTTAATGTGGAACGTAGGGGAATTGGATTCCCCCCCTAATCATTTATTTATCTCAAGTTACAAAAATCAACTCTCTGTTTCAATATAAATATACTGATCAGATTAATTTATGTACAAATTCTAATGATATTCAACAATTTAAAAGTACAAGAAATTCACAAACATACCATTTGGATCTGCATGATGAAGGCAACCATTTTCAGTTTTTGTCAGGGAAACATGTCAAATGACAGAGAGAAAAGAATTAGGCATAAGCAGTGAATTTGAACATAAGCATGGATGCTAGAAGTAAGTTGACAAAGAGTGTTGTGGACACACCATTCATCCAATTTTGTGGAGGTTGAAAGTGGTACCTAGTTCGGTAAGGTTGTTTTTCAGGTACCATCATGTACTTGTTTGAATTCATGCTTTGTGAGGATGCATTCTCTGCATTGATCTCCATGACGATGGTATCAAAGTTATTGAAAGGTCAACAAGAGCCATCGATAGCTAGTGGCCTGGTTGGATGGACGTAGTAAAATGAATCGTGCACACAAATCCTTAGCCTGTTAGAATTTAAATATAAACCATCTTTGATAACATTGCCACTGAAAAATATATTTATTGGTGACTTGACTTTCATGGTCTTTGCAAATTCAATATTTTTTTCTAAATAGTAAAATTGTTAAAGAACATTAGTTAAGGAATAAAAAATATAGCAATGTGTATTTCTTATAATTTGTATGTATTTTAAGATGATTTTTAATAAATACTACCAGATATCAGGATCCCTCTTTAATAAACTTAACACGAAAAAGAAAACTTTTAGAGACAAGGTATAAAAAAATAGGACAAAACACTTATATATGTGAATGGTAAAATATTATCATTCTCCCTTTTTTGATGGAGGACCTTCATAAACAGATAATTCAAAGTTGATCTCTCCTCAAACACTTAAGTTTTCCAGTTAAACATATTAAAAGAAATTTGAAGTCTTGGTTTTTTTATTTTTTATTTTTTTGGGCTGGTGGGTATACAATGTTTGCTCTTTTTTACTTCTATTTTAAGATAAGACACTTGTCTAGGCTTTTTCGGCCAAGATCTTCACACGTATGTTCCATAGAATAAGGTCAATAGATGCCATATAAGATTGTTTTCAGAAAACTTAAAATAATAGTTGGCAAATGACAAAGACCAGAGATGCTTAAAAACTTTCCACTTATATCATTTCTGGTCTTTGTCATTTGCTTTTAGGTTAGCTTTAGTCTGCTACTTGCTGCAAAACAATGCATTTTCCTCTGATTTGGTAAACCACACATTCTTTGACATTAGCCTGAATTTAAAAATTTACATTATTTAATAATTTTTTATATAAATATATAAAATTAACTAATCTAACCTTTTAATTATTTTATATTATCTTTGTGATGTGTATATCAAATTTTATATAATTTAAAAATTTATAAACATATTATCTAAAATTTAAAATTTATATGTATTTTAAAAATATATTATGCGTTGATAAAGCAATGCAATAAAACATAAATTGATTTTATTTTTATGAAAGTTTATAAAATTAATCTACTTACTAAAAATATTAAAATTATTTGTTAAATTAATTAATTTTATATTTTATAAAAATTATTAAATATTTAAATTTGATACCTAATATTACAAAATATAATTAGAAAATAACACCTAAATATTCTTCGTATATAAATGCTATATAAAAAATGTACAAGGTGAAGATAAGATGAACCCCATTTAGTCTCCATAATTTTTTATGTTCCAAAATTTAACTTTAATGAAAAAAAAATCTATTAAGTAATGAAAAATGATTTGGACGTGAGACACGATTAAAGAAGTCGAGTAAATCTAATAAAATTTAAGATGTTATTTAGTTTTTAAAAAACACTTTTATTTTTATTTTTAATTATAACATTATTACCTTATTTTTATTATATTTATTTGATATATTTTAAATATTTTATATTTTCATATTATTTTTTATAAATGAACATAATTGCTAAATTATGCAGTAGCAAGAAAATTAAACAAATATATATTTAAAAAAAACAATGAAGATTATGAAGTTACAAAAAAAGGTAAATGTAAATTATGTAATGGAGTAAATAATATGTTTAATTGAGTCTTAAATACCAAAGTGCTGTTGCTAAATATTTTTATTTTTTCTTATATGATTTAATGTATTTTTAAATATGTATATTTAATTTTTACTAAAAATTATATATATAAATTTAATAATTTTATACATGTACGCACTATTTAAAACAACAATATTTATATATTTATACGATATTTCGTAACTGTTGAGAACTTGAGGCTAACACTGTTTCGGGTTTAAGTCCGATCAATATGAGGCAAGGAAAAATAAATAACTTACATATATTTGGGAGGGGTTTTTTAAAGGAAAAAAAGAGAGAAGATAATATATTTTTAAATTTTAAATTAAAAAATTATATATTATTTATAATAACAATATATTATTAAAATACTAAATGTTAATATATTAATTTTAAATATATTTATTTAAAATATAAATTTTGATTTTTTTACATTAATAAAATAAAAAAATCAAATATTATGTATATGTTTCAAATAAAAAAACATTTTAATTTAAATTATATAAAAGAAAATTAAAATTCATTTCATTATTGCTATTTTCTTTAAGTCAATTTTAATAATGCAATATAAAAATTAATTATAATTAATTTTATTTATAAAAAAATTTGTGTTAGAAAAAGTTAAATATAATTGACTTTAGTTATAAAAGATTTTTTTTTTCACGTAAACTTAACATTACATATCTACAGTGTGATGGTAACAAAGATTTTAGTGTTCAATCTGCTTATCGTTACATTTATAATTACTTCACTATAAGTAGTGGTTTGTAATTGTGTTTAGTGTAGGCATTATACAAAATTTAGAAGATAAATGCACCGAGCATGTATTGTTTAATACAATTCTAGTATAGAGGAATTTAACTAAATGAGGATTGAAGATTTCTTTAAAAGCATGTGGGCTTTGTGATAATAAAGATGAGGAAGTAGTGCACTTTTTTTTTTGCATTGCGATAATTCAATAAGATTGTGGTATATGGTATTTGAATGGTATAAGTATATTCTTACCTAAAAATTTGCATAAGACATTACTGAATATGTGTAGAATTTAATATGAAAAAAATAAATGGAAGAGAGCTGTAATTGTGTGGTTTGCAGTCATATAAACAATTTGATTTTAGATAAATAATATTATCTTCGAGAATGATATAGTAAATATTAGTGAAATGTTTGATTATATTAAGTATCGTTCTTAGAAGTGGCTTGCGTAAGGACCTTTGAAAGCTCAATTATGTAGGTAAATTAAATTAATGATTTTTTAACATATATTGTTAATTCCCTTTATAGATGTAAAGGTTAGAGTCCTCATTGTACTCATATTTTTATCTTTAATAAAATGTTAATGTTTAAAAAAAATATTAAATTTTAGTTATTATATATTTCTTTAGTTATTACTTGTAGCATTTTCTATTTTTATTTCTTAATTAAAGAATATTCTGCTATCCATTATCAATTTTTTTTTTCATTATCAAACTTTAATATACGCTTAAAAAAAATTCTCAATACATAAAATAATAATAAATAATATGTTGTGGTAAAAAATAATATATAAGAGAAAAAAATTATGTGCAATAATAGAAATATAACTTCTGTAATTGTTAGCCACGTATTTTTATTTATTTTACACACATGTTTTCTATTTTTTTTTATTAAATAGCACTTATTTTTATTTATTATTTAATTATTAATTAAAATTTATTTTATTTTATAAATATATTTAATTGTTATTTAATACCGTAAACTAACCTTAAAAATAATAATACATTTATTAATTATTATTAAAGTATTTGTTATTAAATTATTATTGTATCAGTTACTAGGAAGGAAGAATTTTAAAGGTCCTCTTTCTTTTATGTTAGTAAACACCGGTGTAATAAAAGTAATTTTTATTTATTTTGAATAAATAATATATAAATTTAAAAATATATTTAAAATAAAAATTTTAAAATAGAATGTCATATTTTTATTATTTTATTCTTTTTTATATTTTAGAATTATATATTTGTTATTAGATTATTTTATTTTATTTATAAAACCTATTCCGAGTATTGTTTCAGTATGTGCAAGTGGTTATACTAAAGTCTACTGTAAGCGATTTGTATTTTTTTGTTACTAAAACTCTAATAACATTCTCATAATTTTTTAAAATATATTAATTGGTAATTTTTATAATTAAAGTGAATTATAATCAATTTATTTTTATAACTAAAGTTAATTATAATTTAAAATTTTTAAAGTAATTTTTTATAATTAAAATTAATTATAATCAATTTTTATATTATGCTATCAAAATTAAGTTTATATCAATTTTTGTAATATATAAAATAATAATAATAATAATAATAATAAAATTTATTTTAATTTACTTTTATAAGATATTTTTATAATTTTTTTTTTAATTTAGAGCACATACATAACATCTAATTCTTTTTATTTAATTAACGTAAAAAATTTCCTCTTCCTTATTTTTTTCAAAACTTCCATTTTTAAATAATCTCTTAGTTGAAATATGAAGTTTTCCATATCTGAAACAATATTTTATTATTTTCTTTTCGTGTATTTTTCTTGTGACATTAATTATCACATTTTTATTTTTTCATCTCTTATTTAAAAATATTTTTACACCTTATTTTTGAGTTTTTCTTACATAAATAAAATTATTATTCCCTAAATATCCTGAAAAGAAAAAAATTACGTATTCTAAAAGTACATATAAAAGAAGTCGATTTAAATCAACTTTCCTTTTAAAAATTTTTACACAAAAGTCAATTTAAATCAACTTCTATTATAGGTATAATTTTTTTTTACATATAAGTCGATTTAAATTGATTTATATTTTGCTTTTAAAATTTTTTTTATACAGAAGTTGATTTAAATCGACTTTTATTATAGGTTTAATTATTTTTACATAGAAGTCGATTTAAATCGACTTCTATTTTTCTTTTGAAATTTTTTTATACAGAAGTCGATTTAAATTGACTTCTATTTTATTTTTAAATTTTTTTCTATAAAAATTAATTTAATTCAACTTTCATTTTGGTTTCAAATTTTGTTTATATATGAGTCAATTTAAATTAACTTTCACTGACACATGAATATGTTTTAAAAAGAAGTCGATTATAATTAACTTTGTAATACATAATAAAAGTTGATTAAAAAGAAATCTATTATAAATAAATAAAAATTTGCCATTTAAAGATGAGAAAATTTTGAAATTAAGTGTGAAAATTAGAGTGAAATGATAACATTCATTAGCAATTGCTTTGCACGTTCTTAAACCTTACAACAAATTTTAATACAATGACACAATGTGCTGCACATAATATGCATGATATGCTGAATGGATGTCACTCATTCCTTGTAGCTTCTAGAGCTAATTTGTTTGCATGATAGGGATTGGACTGGAACTCGATAAGAAAGCTCAAGGGATTTATCATGAAGGCAAATATTCCAACGAAAGCTATTAATTAAAAGGAAGGCCGAGTAGTGGTAGTTAACCGAGGGAGGGAGCAGCCGTCAAAATTAGCTCTAAAAGTTATCATGCATATAGTTATCATGCAATCAAATTAGCTCTAAAAGTTACAAGGAACAAATGACATCCTTTCAGCATATCATGCATATTATGTGCATGTGTCATTGTATTAAAATTTGTTGTAAGGTTTAAGAAGAGAAGTGCAAAGCAATTGTTAATGAATGTTATCATTTCACTCTAATTTTTACACTTAATTTTAAAAAAATTTTATCATCAAATGACAAATTTTTATTTATTTATAATAGACTTCTTTCTAATTAACTTTAATTATGTATTACAAAGTTAATTATAATTGACTTCTTTCTAAAACATATTTATGTGTGAGTGAAAGTTAATTTAAATTGAATCATGTGTAAATAAAATTTGAAACATGAATGAAAGTTGAATTAAATTAATTTTTATATAAAAAATTTAAAAATAAAATAAAATTTAACTTTATAATAGACTTCTATATAAAAATAATTAAACCTATAATAGAAGTCGATTTAAATCGACTTCTGTGTAAAAAATTTTAAAATAAAAGTTAATTTAAATCGACTCATATTATATGTATTTTTAGGATATTTATGTAATTTTTTTTAAATATTTAGAGAATAATAATTTTTTATTTATTTTATTTGTATAAAAAAGTCTTATTTTTTTTTAGATGTATGGGATGATTAGGATTAGGATTAGGAAGCATTGGGGATGGTGTATGTGGGTGTGGCAGGGAAATGAGATGTTAAAAGTTCATAATCAGCCACTCATGATCCCCTCACAGTCACGGGACCATATGCATTCACTTTATCTCTACTTTTTAGGAGAGAATGTTGCCTTCAACAATCCATCAATGTCAGAGATATACTGTTTAGCAAGATATATATCATATTATCTCCATTTTTATTTATTTATTCAGGAAAACAAAATATAAATTAAGAAATTCAATTATTTAATTCAAATTTTTGTTATTTTTTTAGGAAAACATAATTTTAGAATATTTATTGAGATTGATTAACTTTTAAGTTCCAAAATGAATAATAATTATTTTATATTTTAAAGTATACTCTAAGATGGATGAGTATAAAAAAAAGTTAAAAATATTTGAAATAAAAATATATAATTATGTATATAAGTGTTAGTTTTTCGTGTTAAAACAATAGAACTGGTAGAAAAAGAAAGAAATGATGCTAAAAGTTGCAAGATAGGAGAGAAGAAAATCATAATGTTATTATGCAAATGCAATTATTGAGGAAGAAAAAATTTAGAAAAAGGGAAGAAAAGACAGAAAGTGCATTTGAGTCTTTAGAGTTGAGAACAAGGCATTTTGGTTTGCCTTTTGGTCTCTTGGCTCTCTCTTACTTGTGAGCTTCAAAGTCATCCTTTTCCTCATCGACATTCTTCTAACTCTTCTCTCTTTCTCTTATTTTTCTCTCTCACATACATCTCTCGAAAGTTCCTCAACCATATAGCTGCTTATAACTGTTCTTATTATCATTCTCTTGAAGCACACTTGGTGTGGTGCTATAGCTACTTTCAAGTTAGCTATATATCTAGGTTTGAAGTCAATATATCTCCGGATTCATTCCTCTTTCTCTGTCTGGTGTTCTCAAGAATCTGAAAAGGTTGAAGAATAGAGAAAGCTACATAATTAAACGTGATCGATCCAAGCTGAAGATACCAGATCCATTAATTCCACACCATATATTTTCTTTTTCAGTGTAAGTTGCCTGTAATTAGGTTTAGTTAACTATAAGATATCATAAATTCTTGTCCATGATGCTACAAAAAAAAAATTGTTTATTTTTCACAAATGTGTATGAATGCTCTCATGTTCAAGCTTCACGTAAAATGATTTGTTAGAAATATAACTAAAAATACTCTTCATAAGGTTCAGATAACTCTTTTTATGAGCTAGGTTTTAGAAAACTATAATTAATTTTTAAAAAAATGCATAAGTTTCGAATGTATTTCTCTTAATAGATAAATAACATTTTATAAAAAAATGTTTATAAGTGTAAAAAACCATACATAACTTGTCATGTGATATATGAAGATTCTCTCCCGCATGTGAGTACATATATATACATTATATGTAATGTGTGTGTACGTCTCACACGTATATGTAGAGTACTTTGTTTTCCTACCAAAATTTAACATATATACAGATGATGAAAGGTTTGGTGGTGGAGGAAAATATGTCCAATTTGACGTCTGCATCGAGTGAAATAAGTGGTTCTTCCGGAACCAGATATGACAACACTTCTGATCTCTATTATGCTCAGTACTCTTCTGCTTCAAATCAAGAACCACAACTCAAAAGGAAGAGAAGAGTTCCGGGCCACCCAGGTCATAAATCAGATCAAAACACTGTTCTTTTTTTCCCTTTTAATTGATAGTATACACATAGGAGTTTGGTGCAAAAATTAACACTTAATTTGTTAACATAATTGTGTTTGATTTAATTTATTTTAAAAAATTTGTCAAGTTTACGGTACAGCAGCAAACACCTAAATTATATATTTATTTTACTCTTCTCTGTAGTGTAAATTTTATTCCATATATATGAAATTTGAGTTAAAAACAAATACCAGATATAATAATATAATATATTTAATTTGTTTATTTTAGTATACATAAATGGAAACAAAGATAATCTTACTTTTATCTTACTGTATTCTTATCTAACTTCTGTATTATATTAATTTATATCTTATTATGTATATTACGAGTGTATTTTATATATTGTTTTACAATTGAATGGCGTTGGTTTAATTCATTTTTCTTTTTACTTGGTTCCGTTCAGACCCTGGGGCAGAAGTGATAGCCTTGACTCCACAGACCCTTTTGGCAACAAACCGGTTCTTTTGTGATATTTGTCAAAAAGGGTTTCAAAGAGATCAAAATCTACAGCTTCATCGAAGAGGGCATAATTTGCCATGGAAGTTAAAGAAAAGGAATATCAAAGAAGCAAGAAAAAAAGTATATGTGTGCCCAGAGCCAACATGCCTTCACCATGACCCATTAAGGGCCCTCGGGGACCTCACTGGAATCAAGAAACACTTTTTCAGGAAGCATCATGCAGAGAAGAAATGGAAGTGTGAGAAGTGCTCCAAATGTTATGCAGTACACTCAGATTGGAAAGCCCACTCCAAAATTTGCGGCACCAGAGAATATATATGTGACTGTGGAACCGTTTTCTCTAGGTAACTAAATTTAATTAAGAATCTGATTACTCAACTTTTAATTGATTTTAAATCAAAAACTAAAGCAACTTATCTTCAAAACACATTGTAAATATATTGCTTTAAAAACTTTTTTTTTTTTTTACTTATATGCAGTAACAAAAATATCATTTATTAACCATTTGTGAAATTGTGATTAGACTTTGGCTTGTTAGTATAAGTTTTGTTTGCTAGAAGTTCAAGTATTAGTATAAATATTATGGATTCATACTATTAGTACGATACATCATATTTAAAAATATAAATTTGTTAGTAAAAATTGATAAGTACTATTACTATATTATACTGTTAGCATAATATATTTTACTATTAACATAAATTAACAATAGTTATATGAATAGTTTAAATTATGCTAAAAAATTATTGATAAGAGCTATAATTAAATGATAAAGCGCTAGTAAAATTGAATTTTTTATATTGATAATAAATTACCTGTGCCCATTTATTTGCTCTTTTTATTTCTTCAATTAGAAAGTAAAAAAAAAAATTAAGAGAAATATTCACTTTTAACCATGTATTACTTTGTAATTATGGATAAGAAACAAATAGGTGATAATTATCATCAAAACAGAACAACAAAAATTCATCTTTAATGATTTTAAAATATGTTTCTAAGGAATGTATGTGTGTGTGTGTATATATATATAATATTACATACATATCATTTTTTAATACTTAAATGATTAAAAAAGTTTATATCTTGGCTTACTTTTTGTGGTTGCAGGAGGGATTATTTTATTACTCACAGAGCCTCTTGTGATGCCTTAACTCAAGAGAGTGGTAGGTTGAACCTTGAAGATAACGCCAAATTTCATAGTCATGTCCTTCAAGCACCATCACTAAAAAGAGAACAAGAGTTTAACTTAGGTCTATCAAGAACTCCATCATGGTTGGCTTCTCCAATGGCTGAAGAAGTTGTCCATGATCAAACAAATAGGGCCTTAGATTTCTCCTCATCACCATTATTCCCAACACATGTCAACCATGAAAACCCTAACCCTACAACTACTTTGCTTCGTTCTTTTCATTCCATTACTTCTTCTCCTCAAATGTCATCAGCCACTCCTTTGATGCAAAAGGCTTCACAAATAGGTGTAACAATGAGCAAAATTACACCTTCAGAAGCCTTGCTTAGACCCCACTTATTATTGCAAGAGATTCACGTGCCTGAATATACAACAAGGTACATGGCTTCATCCTCAGCTTTTTATGGAATGGTTATACCTTCACGTGAAGAATAGGAAATGGGTTTGTTCATGACTTGGCATCTTAAGAGAATAAAATTGCAAACACTTCCAATTACTTGGAAGATGGTGCTGCCACATCACTTAAGAAGATAAAAGCTGTTGATCAAACATTTTCGTTATTTTCCATGATATGATGACTAGTATTAGACTATACCTTATGCTAGAAAGTTTAAGGAAGCTATCACTATAAGGGGTATGTTCAATCCACCAAGAGATAATGCTAACTTTCAGGAACTTGTTTCAAAACCAGCATATATAATCTTAATTTGGTAATAAAAGCAACGAGGAAACTACAATGATTCCATCATTAATTGAAATGTTATTATATATGTTTGTGTATGCCTACTTGCGTCCAATTAAATATGTTTTAAATTTTTTAAATATGACTAAATTTTATTGTAGTCGTTATTTTGGTTTTTTATTAATTTTAATTTTTGTAAATTTTTAATTCTTTAAAAAAATATTCCTATTATGGGTAGACCACATTATTAATAAGTAATAAAAATATTTTAAAAAGTTTTAAAGTTTATCATGAGAAATAAAAAAACATATTTAATTTAATTGTATTATAAAAAATTAAAAAAAAAAGCTCTCATAAAATAATATAAATTGTAAAAAAAATGTGAATCTTATCTTTTTATCTAAACTAATCTTGTTTGAATTGGATAGAACTCACACTGAAAGATAAAATTCTTGTTTTGATTATTTTACACAACTGCAGAAATAACTTAAAATCATAAGTTAAGCTGAAACAATCTGTTATTAGTTAATTCATGTATTTGACAATAAAAAATGTTAATTACATTAATAACGTCATAATTTTACAAAATAATCTTCAATAAAATTATGGATTCTAAACATGACCGATATTAATTTTATGAATTGATTAAAGTCACGGCCTCTTTTAGTCTGAATTATAATATTTGGATTTAAGTTTACTTATGCTTGTTATAAAATGAACGTAAAATTACAAGGAAGAATAGATAGAAGAATATAGAGAGGAAGAGAGAATCTCAATTTCATTTTCACATCACCTCAATACAAATGAGACACCTATTTATAGGCCTAAAACTATAACTGAAAAATCATATCTTTTTGAATGAGAATTAAACAAAACAGTTACAAAATCGTAAGTTACAAAGAATAAGGAGGAGTTATGAATATGGACATTTACTCATATAATAATTCATAACACTCCCTCTTGAATGTCCATTATTTGAGAATATGTTTTATAACATCTAGCTAGGAGAAACTCAATGGGATAAAACCTAAGAAAAATACATTATTATTTACGCTATTACATGCTGCCTCATTAAAAACCTTGCTAGAAAAACCCAATGGAAAAAAATCATAGCTAAAGAAAAAAGAGTGCAAAGCGTATTAATTCTCCCCCTCATGTGGACAATCATTTTGAAGACGACGAAGTCCAATCTTGTAAACTAGTTGTTCAAAAGTTTTACTTGGAAGTGACTTTGTGAAAATATCTGCTAGATTCTCACATGAACGAACTTGTTGAATATTTATATCACCATTCTTTTAAATATCATGGGTAAAAAAGAATTTTGGAGAAATATGCTTTGTTCTATCTCCTTTAATGTACCCTTCTTTCAATTAAGAAATACATGCAGCATTATCTTCACATATAATTGTTGGGGTCATTTTTCCTGAAGATAAACCACAAGTTTCTTGCACATGTTGAATCATAGATCTTAACCAGACACATTCTCGACTTGCTTCATGTAATGCTAAAATTTCTGCATGATTGGATGATGTAGCCATTATAGTTTGTTTCATAGATCGCCATGAAATGACTGTACCATCACATGTAAACAAATAACCTGTTTGTGATCTACCATTATGTGGGTCAGACAAAAAATCTGCGTCTGCATAACCAATCAACTCAGATTTAGATTTGTTTGGGTAAAATAAACTCATATCCATTGTACCTTTAAGGTAACGAAATACATGTTTAATTCCATTCCAATGTCTTCTTGTAGGTGAAGAACTATACCTTGTTAATAAGTTAACAACAAATGATATATCAGGTCGTGTATGACAAGCAAGATAGATTAGTGCTCCAATTGCACTAAGATAAGGTACTTCAGGACCTAGTAGTTCTTCATCCTGTTCCCGAGGTTTGAAAGGATCTTTGTTTACATCTAGTGACCTTACAACCATTGGAGTACACAAGGGATGTGATTTATCCATATAAAATCGTTTTAACACTTTTGAAGTATAAGTTTCTTGATGCATAAAAATTCCATTCTTTACATATTCAAGTTGTAATCCAAGACAAAACTTTGTCCTTCCAAGATCCTTCATTTCAAATTCTTTTTTTAAGTAATTTACTGTTTTTGAAATCTCTTCAGGAGTTCCAATGATATTTAAATCATCAACAGAAACAACAATTATTACAAATTCATTATAAGATCTTTTTATAAAAATGTATGGACAAATAGGGTCATTTTTATATCCTTCCTTCAACAAATATTCGCTAAGGCGATTATACCACATGCGTCCAGATTGTTTCAATCCATAAAGTGATTTATTCAACTTGATTGAATAACCTTCTCTAGAATTTGAATTGTATGCATCTGATAAATTAAATCCTTCAGGGAGTTTCATATAAATGTCATTATCAAGTGAGCCATACAAATAGGCTATAACAACATCCAGTAATCGCAAATCGAGTCCTTCATTTGCTGCTAAACTGACCAAGTATCGAAAAGTATTTGCATCCACTACAGGTGAATATGTTTGTTCAAAATCAATACCAGGTCTTTGCGAAAAACCTTGGGCAATAAGTCGTGCTTTATATCTCACAATTTCACCCTTTTCATTTTGTTTTGGCACAAAAACCCATTTATATCCGACTGACTTTACATCTTCAGGTGTACGAACTATAGGTCCAAAAACTTAACGCTTTGTAAGCGACTTTAATTCTTCCTCAATTGCAACTTTCCATTTTTTTTCAGTCACTTCTTTGTCTATACTCGTTGACTGATTTTGGTTCATAATCATCTATATCAGTTATCACATCCAATGCTACATTAAATGAAAAAATATCATCGATATTGACTTCATTTCGGTTCCATTGTATTCTATTCATGACATAATTTATTAAGATCTCTTTATTTTCATCATTTTCAGGTACCTCTGTTTCTTCGGGAACTAAAATATTAATTATGTCTGATGACTCTTCTGGAGTCTTTACATCCTCATTTTGGTTACCTTGATTCTTAGTTCCTTTTCTTTTTCGAGGATTTTTATCTTTGGAACCAAAAGGTCTACCACTCTTCATACGTGATTCAGATTGATTTGCAACATTAGATTGTCCATTCGGAACATTGATTTTGATTGGAGCATTAGCAGCCGAGACATATGATTTAGTCACTTGATAAATCATAATCAACAAAAAAATAACTTTTTAGTTATTTCTTCTTTTTCTTTTATTTTTTAATTATTTTTTTCTGTGTAAACTAATGAAATAAAGTAATAATAATGATAAAATTAAATAAATCTTGTGATAAGTCAAAAATAATTTTTTTTATATTAATAGTTAATTTTTTTTCCTTGTTCTTTCTCTTTATGAGCCAATAAAATAAAATAAAATAAATCTTGTGATAAGTTATAAAATTGTGTGTTTATAAATTATTGTTACTATGTTGCTATTGTTATGTAAATTTTTTTGTAAATTTTTTTATTTTTTAATAAATAAAAATTCTAAAAAAATTTAAAAAATATACAATTTTAAAAAAATTGTTTTAAATTTATGTGACAACCAACTAGTTTTTATTTAACATTTTTTAAATTCATACAATTTTATGACTTATTATAAGAATTATTTTTTATTTTATTTTATTAGCTCACAGAGAGAAAGAAGAAAAGAAAAAAATCACTATTAACCTAAAAATATTATTTATAACATCACAATATTTTTTTTATTTTATTTTATTAATTTACAAAGAGAAAGAACACTAAAGAAATAAAAGAAAAAGAAAAAAAACTCAAAAAAATTATTCCTTTCTTGTTACAAATTTGATTTTTTTTAATTTCATTGGTTCATACAAAAAATAATAATAATAAAAAACAAAAAAAGAAAAAAAAAGAAGAGATTATTAAAACAAATTGTTCCTTTACAATTTATTATAAGATTTAATTCTTTTATTTTTTTTAACTTTATCAGTTTATTAGAAAAGATAAAATAATTAAGATAAAGATGAATGAGAATACTCAAATTTGTGTAGACATTTAGCAAAAATAAATATTGAGTAACATTAACAATTTGGGTAACATCTGAAAAGGTCTGGCTATGCAAGTCTTGAAAGTGTTATAGTGGTGACAAAATGAGTTTTGGATTGTTCATATAAGAAGTCATATTGAATTTAATGATTGCCATTTTTTCGCTTGGCCTTTGTACTATAGAATTTGGATGATTAATAAATATTTATTATATTTACATTTAATCACAATTAAAATATATTTTTATTTTAAATTAAAATATTAATTCTTATATTAATAAATAAATAAAATGTTAGTTTTGAAGAAAAAAAATACATTCAAAAGTTGGTTTTTGGGAAACTGAGTTCCCAATGTGGTTTACCAAAAAAAGTTGAAAGTGTTGGAAGGTTAATTTCTTTGAAATTGACTTTTTACTATATTCATGTGTCTGCGCATTTTAATAATAATTTCATTTAAGAGGTTCTTTTCAAATATACTAATTCAATAAAACAAAAAGTCAGCATTGTTATGAATTATTATATGAGTGAATGTTCATATTCATAACTCTTCCTTATTCTTTATAACTTACGATTTTATAACTGTTTTGTTTAATTCTCATTCAAAGAGATATGATTCTTTAGTTATAATTTTAGGCCTATAAATAGGTATCTCATTTGTATTGAGGTGATGTGAAAATGAAATTGAGATTCTCTCTTCTTCTCTATATTCTTCTCTCTATTCTTCCTTGTAATTTTACGTTTATTTTATAACACGTTATCAGCACGAGACTCTAGTACACACTTTTCAAGAAAGGAACATTGTTGAATAAAGGTTCGATATTATTTCATT